TGTAGCTACAGTTTCATTACGATTAGAATTGGGTGATTCCAATAGTATCATCCAAAATAACTGGCTTTCAAGGACGCGGGCTTGAACGGAACAAACTGTTTTCCGTTAGAGGCCAAGGTTGGAATAAAAAATCCTTGGATGAGTATAGTGAGACAATTTTGGAGGATGAAGCAATGCTTCTCAAGGGTGTTGTGGGAAGTAGTAGTTTGCTTACATGATGCTTCTTGTGAACAAAAGACCCACACTGGTTACATAACTTACATTTACAGTGTTCTTCAAATATTTGTAGGTCTTCATGTTTTATTTGTGCCTTGTAATTGTGGGTGCTAAAGGGTCTTAGGGTGTATACTATTCATTACTCATGGTCATAGATTGGGGGTATTTGTGCCTTGGTATATACTATTCATTAAATTTTGTAGTGTTAAAAATTGCGTAGTCTATGAAAACTTATTCTTTTGGCCCACTCCAAATTCAATGTTTTGAAATCATGGCTGCCTATGATATTAGTTCCTTATTTTAATAGTGTTTGTTAGACATATGCGAAATATTTCCTCTAAGAGTGTTGGTTGCTTTGACTTTGGCAAGATGAATTTGCTGCCTGGCGAACTATAATGTGCTCCATGCTCGGATGCTTTTGAAGAGTGGTGGCTGCTTCAGAAATGCTACAAGGACTTATTATCGGTGGACGGTGGTGATCTTAACCAGGCATGGACTGGTTCCGAGCCAGACCGGGCTCCGGTCCGGTCCAAACCGGGCTTTTATTTTTTGGGGATGGGCCCGGAACCGGCCCGGGATGCAACCGGGTCCGGGCCGCTCTTAGGCCGTTTTTTTTTTTTTTGCTTTTCTAATTAACCCGACCCCCCTCACCCCCACCCCCAAAGCCCTCCAAAACACCCAGCCCAACCTGGGAAAAAAAATAAAAAAAAATAAAAAAAAAGGCCGAACCGGGCCCGACCGGGCCAGTTCCAAAGGAAGGGTAGGCCTGGAACCGCACTGCTCTAACACCGCGGGCCAGTCCGGGCTCGCACAGTGACGGGCCGGTTCTCGGGCCGACCGAAACCGGTCCATCCCTAATCTTAACCGCTAATAGTCTTGATACAAATGACGACTTATTGTTTTGAGGTTTGACAGTACTCAAGAACCGGGGTAGCAGGCCATAAGAGTTGCTGCCATTCTGTAGTGTAGAAGTGTATTGGATGTGACCATTTGTTTTTTTGTATATTCTGTAGTTTTTGTTAGAGGGGTTTAAAATTGATTCCGCTTCTACTTCTTTTTAAAAGCAGAAGTAGAATCAGAATTAATGTTTCAGAAGCTGATCCCCTCAACTTTTCAAAAATTACTTTTATGAGGACTCAGAAGCACTTTTACGCCTCCATCCAAACACTCTTTCATCTATTTCTACTCCTTAAAGGAGCAAAAATAGTTATTAAGAAGTACTACCTCCATCCCCTTTTACATGTCCCGGAAAAGGGTGACACGAGTTTTAAGAAAAGTGGGATTGTGTGGTTGATATTAATTGATAAAGTAAGAATAAAGTAAGAATAATTTTGAGCCACACAAACTTTACCAAATAATGTATGGGACATTTAAATAGGGGCATCCCAATATGGTAAAACGAGACATATAAAAGGGGACAGAGAGAGTAAACTCAAACACTCATTTAATGCTCTAGCGACTTTAGAGTTTAGACTTTAGAGTATCATATCATGCCCAAGTTTTTGGTATCATACGGACGACTAGGGCTGAGCAAAACACGAACCGACCCGCAAAATTCGAACCAAAATGGATATCCGACCCGAAAAACCCGAAACAAAAAATCCGATTAGTATTGGGCCAAGATCGGGTGGCGGGTAGGGTTTGTAAAATCCCAACCCGACCCACCCAAATATCCGAAATATATTAAATAATTTAGTGTGTACTTTGAATATGTTAAATTAATAATTGTGTTTAATTATTTGTGTAATTATTTGTGCAATTTGTGTTAAATTATTATTGTAATTTGAATGTGTAGTACACTAGTGTGTACAATTTTTGTCAAAGTGACATTCCAACACTTTAATTATCCAATTATAATGTGTTATAATATAACCGATATATTCGAAATATATTAAATTATGTATTGTGTACTTTGAATATGTTAAATTAATACTTGTATTCAATTATTTGTGTAATTATTTATGCAATTTGTATTAAATTATTTGAGTAATTTGAATGTCTAATGCACTAGTTTGTAGAATTTTTGTCAAAATGGGATTCAAACACTTTAATTATCCCATTATAATTTTTTTAATATAACCGAAATATCCGAAATCCAATCTGATATCCGATAATATCCGACTTACAAATATCCGAAAAACCCGATTTGAAATATCAAATGGTCGGGCCTAGTATTTAGCTTAAAAAACCCGAACGGGTCTAGGGTACACAGACCCGACCCGCCCGATCCCGACCCTTGCTCAGCCAACGGACGGCTTTAGAGTTTACAAGCTTTGCGTGTCATGGAAACTATCCTTCTGAAGTTCTGATTCTAAGCAAAATTATTAAGCAAAATAAATATGGGAAAATAATAGGAATTTATAAGACTCGTGTTTGCTGTGAATTACTTCAGTGTTTGTATTTTTTTTAGTTCATGTGTTGGGTTTTATAATTTTATTATTTCTTGCACATAAGCACATTCATTGCTTCTACTCTGGTCTATTAGTTCTTAATGTTTTGAAAAGACCCCAACAGAAGATCTGTAGTAGTGATACAACTTTTATCGTGATACAATTTGAAAACATTGATCGAATTTCTTGCATTCTGGAAAATGGAAATGAGAGAATAAAGGAACACTGGAAACGACACAGGACCAAAACCTATACTGCACATGTCATGTTATTTTAGGTGTCAAAAATGGCATAAGTGTAATCTATTTTGGCCGCAGGCAAATTAACTAATTTTGAGATTCTTTATTCAGCGGGTACACAATTCAGAAGTCAGAACTTCATGATCAAAGCTTTGCACAATGAAAGTGATGACATGTGTGCTTAAAAGTTAAAAACAACCAGAGCCGTGCGGTGCTTGAGGCAGATGAGGCTATTGCCTCAGGGTCCAAAAAATTGTTAAAATTTTAGGGCCCACAATTTTAGATATTTCTTTATTATATATATGTATTAAATTTACATATTCGGCTTCCTTTTTGCCTGTTAGAGCACCAGTTAGAAAGAACCTGGAGATATCAGATCACACTCACACACACTATGTGCTGATATATGAGAAGGGAATCATATTCTATCCAGGAACTCTGCTTTTGAATTACAGGAGGATGCCTTTATATATAATAGGCATTGAAACATCATTTAATTAGAACATTAAAGATACAACTTTCTGGGAAGTCTTTTCATGTATTTCAGAAACTCTTTAGTTTCCCACATTTATTTGAATTAAAACTTTTTCCCAACATTGCCCAACCTTTGTCCGCTGATTCCGCTGTTGTACTTCAAAAAGGAAAACCCAAAAGTCCCTCAATTACTTTTGTTCGACCAGTTTAGAAGCGGAATAGCCATCAACATACAAATGGAAAAGGGTTTTAAGGCGATTTGCGATTCCTTTGTTCTGGCATAGACTAATCGATCGACAACAGGGCCTTAGCTAAGGTTAATTTGTGATTCCCTTGTTCCAATCTATAGACCTAATCAATCAACATCAAGGTTAATCTTTCATCCTGTTTGCTTAGCTTCTAAATTTCTAATATTTTTCTATTTAAAGCCATAAAAGGATTTATAGCCTACCAAATATCCGTTTAGAAGGAATTTGTTGAACATCTAGAATGTCGAGTTAATTAATACTTTTGTTAGCTAAAACTCTCAGGCAAGTTGTACTTAATTAGTCATTTGAATACGTTGATATTAATGTATTTTTTATTTAATTAGTCATTTTTATGATGTTTAATCTTCAATTTCAAAGAAAATTATAGTAAAAAAATAAATAATGTATAGGGCCTTTTAGTAAGTTCGACTCCGGCCCGAGTTTTGGTAGGATCGGCACTGAAACAACCAATTTTACTATCCATCATTTCACATTTTCACCCCTAAACCAGGCGTTCAGAAAACTTCTTTACTTGAACACCCCAATCTGTTCAACTCTCTGATTCCCATCAATTGCAGAGTAAATTGAGTCATGCAAAGCACGAGTATACCATATACCCAAATGAATTTGTGGGCATTTTTCGCAGGTCCATTGGCCTTTTTAGCCAGGTCCGGTTGAGGTTCGAAACCGAAAAAACAATCAAGTCTTAGTCAAACGACTGACCAGTCCCATTTCAGAACAGAGTACAACTTATCCCACGGTAATACTTGCTTTGTTAGACAACTCCAAGCCACAAATTTCCATCCAAGTAACCGAATGACTCAACCAAATAATTTGCCTTGCCCTTTGCATTTTGTTTAATTTATCTTTGTCTCATTTTGTGATTAGACACGTACAGTGATATTCTCACGCAATGAAACTTAAGACAAAATGATTATTAATGAAAGGGTTTCTTTCATTAAAATAAGGACGATTCAAAGGTAAACTATTTACTCATGCAGGTAGGACCACCATAACCAAACATTCTAACCCAGCTGGTTGTGAGGTTACCGTGCCTAGTGAGAGGTCTCGAGTTCGAAACCCGCTAGGCACATAAGGGTTCGAAACTTAATGGAGTGAGTTTCAGCCCTGACTACTCCGGGGCCCCCTAGACCCCCTCCCCCTGGAGTAATAAAAAAAAGCAGGTAGGACCACCATCGTGCCTGTCATCACTTCACCTGACCTCAGACTATTCCCAACCTGTTTGCTTTAGCCTTTTGAAGCAGAACTTCCATAGACAGATCTCTTTGAGTCACTGTCATAATATCATTGGCCACTGGTGAGTCTCCAAGAGTCCAACCCTACTTTCTAGAGTCTGAACAATAATGCAACTTTTTACATTAAAGAAGAAAAGAAACAATGAGTACCACACAAAGATAATCGTTGTCTCTATTCCCTCTTCACCCATTGCAAAAATATATGTTACACAGAACTGTCAAGGGCTTTGACAAATGGGACGTTACTTATGAAAATTTTCCAAAGCAAGCAAAATTGGGGATAAATACAGATTTTATGCTCCAAAAAATGTACTGTTTGATTGGGGCCTAATATAAAAAGGACAATGATGGCTTTGAAGAGATTCACCGTGCAAGAATGAGAATACTCAGTTGGCAGGATTATGGGTTTCATGAAGCTCACCTCAACTATACCCGTCCATCAATCATAGGTCCTCACTATGCATACCATGGTGAAAAAAGACACCTCAAGTTGGAATATTGCGATGCCCATCAGCAAATTCTCGGATAAGGCGTTTCAAAGTTCTTCCCCCTTTCCCTTGCATATGAGAAAAATCATTCACTCTTCCAACACATTGCCTGCATTGAATATAATCTGAAGCTGCAGCCACAAGAGCCTTAATCCATACTGGAACTAGTGATTCAGCTTCACCCTGTTTTAAATACTCAGAAGGCAGAGTCTGCACCTGCATAAAAAAAAAACTCAGATGATTACTCTCTCATTTTATGATAGGAAAACAACAACCCCCACCATTATATGGCTAAGCTAAACATGTATATACCCTTCTCTCCTGAAATCTTACCCTCAGCGTATTGCTGCTTTTTAAGCTTTGAAACAATAAAGTTCAATAATTCCGGAACCAGAATTTAGAACTCACGCTGGGAGTGTAGGTAAGCCTGAACTAGGACATACAAACAAAATCAAGTAAGCAATGCTAATACTGGACACACATACTAACCGCTGAGTTAAGCCATCCATGCAGGGAATTCCAACAAAGAATAGCCTTCCATGTTGTTTTTTCATTTAAACAGCACACAGCAGCCAACTGTTGCAAGACTGTAGCAGACTTGTGAACCTGTAAAGAATGGCTAATGTCAATCCAATAGCTTGACTAGACTATTTAACAGAGAATGGTTTCTACATACATATCCAGTTCTCCAAACTTTCAAGGTTTACACTTGCCATTAGAAAAAACAGAACCAATGCTACGGCTTTTTCTTAAGGGAAAGTTCCCGAAATGGGACTAAAAAAGTTCTAAAATTCCAAAATAGGACTGTCATGTTTTTATTCCCAAAATAGGACTAATTACTGCCAAATTTGGAAAATACTGCCATGTTTGAAGTCTGGTACTGCCAAAACATGACAGTAATTAGTCCTATTTTGGGAATAAAAACATGGAAGTCTTATTTTGGAATTTTCAAACTTTTTTAGTCCCATTTTGGGTAATATCTCTTTTCTTAAATATGCAAAAACAGTCGGATTAGAGCAACAAAAACGTGTTCAAACTTCTTGAATGGCAGAAATGGTGTAACAAGCGATGCTTAGGTTTTGCCAAGGCAATTTCTTCAAGTTGAAACTGCATCGAAAGTTTCAGTTGTTCAAAGTCAAACTGCCCTTCATCTAACTAGGGTTGATAAAAAAATTCACATGCTGTTTTCTATTTTCCAATGTATTTTAGAAAATGAGGTTGTATAGGACCTGGAAGCGAAGTAATCTGCATTTAAGAATCCCAAAATTATTTGATAGCAAATGTGGATGAGAATGATCTATTTGTATATTAGTATCCTTGGGTTTGGGTTTATTAAGAGGGTCAATCCTATTACAGATTGTAGGAGCCAGAACCTCACCCTTGACATTGCAGAAACACCAAGCAAAGCATAGATCAGATTTGACACAAGTCCCTCCCCACTGTGTGATATGACTTGTATCACCATGGCTTCAACTGTCCTTTCAGAAATGCATGCTATGGGTTGCATTTCAGACACGGGTGCAACAGATTTCATTAATGCATCAAGACTGAGCTCCAAAAAAGCTGGAATACAAGAATGTGTAGGTGCTTTAAAAAACTTGGCTCAAATCTTATGTTACCCACAGGTTGTAAGCAAGATGTTGAAGGACACATAAAAAAAAAATGAGTGTAGAAATTAGTGAGATGGTTAATTATTTTTCTCTAAAACATAAGCTAAACGCTACCAGAATAAAGCTGGTACAAAACTCAGAATAAAGCTACCACCCTACTGAAGCTCCTCCACAGGCTGAAAAACAAATGACGTCAAGTCATTACTCTCTAATGCATTCCGTGAAAGGTACAAGCAGCACACGGTTCATGTACCATGACTATGCAAGGTGCAAGTCATGTGTTTGATTTAGTATTATTAACTTTGACTGTCAAATTTGGAATTATGTTTGTTCCTTTTAAATGTTTGTTAGTTATGGTAAATGGAATCAAATTACATAATAATAGCTTGAAGGTGTATTAGACTAGGAAGATACATTACACCACACGATTTAAGAGCAATTAGAGTGAAGAAAGTGAGATATTCAGTAAATGAAATGTATTAAATAATCTGCAAAACCATATATCCGGTAGATTGATTGTGTAAAAGTGATGTACATACTATATGGCCTCAGCATTATTAAAATAAGGTGATGCAACTAAAAAAGTTTTAAAGTACTGTGTGATTTTCTCATCACCGCTGAGTGGAAAAGCAAACCCTAGGTCAAAGATTTAAATTTATAGCAAGATCACACATGTTACAGAGTTCACTATGCCGGAAAATTGCCAAGTTTATATTAAGGAGGTGAATATTACTAAGTTTATATTAATGAGGTAATTCAGCCAAGTATTTAACTCCAAAGAGTACAAATTCTTCATGTTCATACCAAGACACCAGGCTACAAGGGCACATGTCATAATACAAAATGCATGTTTTACCATGAAGAGGTCTCGTGATAAATAAAAAATTCAAAAAATTTATGTGTATACAAGGCACCAAATTTACCCACTAAGCTGAGTATGAAGTCTTCATTTTTACACAACGAAAGTACTAAAACTTGGGGTTTCATCCAAAAAAGGTTAATCAAATAGAAGTAGTCTAAGAACTTGAGAGATTGTATCTTTATGTTTAACCGGTGTGGGATGACTTGAGATCAAATCCTTGGCAAGTCCAGATTTTGAAAAAGCAAGAAAATCATGTGTCCAATTGCTCCATAAAATAAAATTCTTTTTTACCATGACTAATGTGTCTTGATAATGAAATTTAACAAACCTAGTTTATCAACTAGTGCGGAAAAAGAAGAAATAAAGTTTGAAGTTAATAAAAGAGCAACAAAATAAAATAAAATCACCATAAGTATTGATTGCTCAGTGCACACTATTGACATTGAAGGAAATAGGATATCATAAAACAAAATAAAGGCTAGCATTGGTATTGATATCTTACTGGACATAAATGACATTGATGCTAGTGCTGCACCCCGATGCATAGCTGTGCAACATATAGCTGCTTTTTGGAAGGATAACTCAATAATGGAACCTGAGACAGCTAAGACTTCCTGAATTAGAGAAAGAACATGTCAAAGGTTTGTGCAATATAAGGGGCATATACATCCTTTTGTGCATATAAGATTTGAGGGGATCAAATTATGTGGACAAGTAATCAGCACCTTAGGGGAGCATCGGATAAAGGTAGATGCAAAATTTGTAAAGGCCTCTACTAGATCAGGTTCTTCGTCACATATATAAGAAGAACTCAGTGACATCACAGATGTTGCACTGATAAATCGATCGAATGTGCTGATGAAAAGAGACCCATATTCGTCTCTATTGCCAAATTCTTGAATGATTATAGAAGCTGCAAATTGTAGAAATACTTGAACATTAACCCCAAATTTGGGTCCTCAATCCCCTTGCACATTAACCCCAAAAGAAACACAAGAAAAATGGAAAAGGATGCAAAAGCAAAAAACAAAAACAGCATTGACACCATTACTGTTTACATTGTCATGTTAGTGTCAACATGAACTTATATATGCAGCATTTTGATATTCTACATTTCAACCCTAACAGAGTATGGAATATTTGACCGAGGCACAAACTCATAGAAGAATGCTATGAACCATTTCATCAAATGACCAAGCCTAATGATAAAAGGCAAAGAGTCAAAGAAGCTATAAACGACATGATAGCTTATCTGAAGTAAAAAAAAAAAAAAAAAAAAAAAAAAAAAAAACATCCTACAGGCTTTGAAGAAAAATTCAAAAGTTTTTTTTATCATATCTTATAGACAATATGGGTGCCAAGGTACATGCCTGATCCTCCTCATTGTTTTGAATTGGAGATTACATTTGCTTATACCAAAACCTCATTTTAAGTGTACCGAGAACAGTTCAGGTGTGTTTGACTTCATGAATGTGGAACACATTCACCATTCGATTATATACAATGAATAAAGGCAATGGAAAAATCATTAAATGGTACTTGATTGTATATCATATTAATGTAACAGCTTCTGATACTTATATTGCCTAAAATCACAGAAAATGTCGAAGAGTAATTCAGAATGTGACTTAAGGAAGAATGAAGGCATCATTGAGAATTTCATTGCACCCTGATTCGATTACTGCATGACATAAGCATTATACCTGCTCTGATGTAGCAATCGTGATTTTGGAAGGTCTGGAAGTTGGAAGAGAGACAATCTAACACTTTAGGCAACAAAGGCACAAATGGCTGACCTGCAAATGGAATTAAAACTTTTTCAAGAAAATGAAAGAAAACAATTCTTTGTTCAGAAGAATAATCATAAGGTTCTATCAAGCAACATGACTGATAACAGGATAAGTTATTTCAGCTCATAAAGCTGCTCTTGTATAAGGATTAATGATAAACTGAAATTTTCAAAATTGCAGTTCCCTCCAATGACCCTTCACTCGAACTCCAAAAGACACAAGGTTAACCAACAAAATGCATCACATACTTTTTAGTCAAAAGATCCACTGTATAATTGACAAGCTTTATATGATTGAGATGAGACTATCTGTGTCATGATATCTACAATTTTATTATCAATTTAAAAACCAAACACCTATAAAAAGCCCAGACCAGAAAACACTGAAAAAAAATTAGCTAAACCCTGTTGATTTTTTTGACCATTAGAAAGTCATAGTTGACAATGAGGTTGCATAGTCGATAAAGAAGCCGCAAACAAAACTCTTGTCACCTTGGTATAACATGAGTGAGCATGACCAATGTCTGTCCAATGGTGACGACAGTTTCGGAATTTCATCTTGTAATTCTTTAATATAAACTAAAGGTTGTGAAAAAAGGGTATCCAGCATCATACCTTCTGATTAAATTTGTTTCCCATGGATAATAGTGTTAAATGTTAATTAAATTAAACTAACACTTAGATTTCATGCCACCGACTGAAGTGAATGACCTCAATAACTTGAAACTTAGGATTAAGGTGTCAATGAGGACAGGATGGTGATGCCTGATAGCATTTAGTTGTTCATAAAGCCAATCTCAAATTACTTCTCCTTATTTATACAGAACCTACATAGCGTCTCTTGTCAGTCGTAGCAAAGTAGCAAAGTATTTTGTTTCTTGTCATCCATGACTACTTGCAATGAAATTTATTTCCGACACTCTTGCAAGCATATATTCATTGCTCGAAATGTAGACTGTCAGTGCATTCATTTCATGCAACTGAAAGTAACTCTACTATTGACATATATATTCATTTCAATGGATAAAGGTGACAAGGTATTGAATTTACAGCGGGTACTTATGCATTCCATATAGTGGTACTTTTTTTTCACTAGTGTTGGTCGTGTTGATACTGCAAAAGGAAAGGGAAAAATGTACTCCTGTTCCAACGAAAGAGTACAACATACACACATATGAAAATGGCACTTAGGCTACTCAGATAGTTAAATGTGAAATTATCACTATGATGCCTTAAGTATAACTAACAGTTGATCACACAACCCCGTCTTACTCCTAATCAAGCTTGTGGGCTTGAGTGCATTGCTAGAAAAAGTAAAAACAAAAAAGTGAAACTCAAAATACCTGAAGATTGAATTGCTTGTGAAAGAACTTTACAGGCTGCCGTTGATAAGCAAGCGTTTTCAATATGATCAGAGTTGAAAAGTTTCTCAAGCATTTGCCAGAATACTCCTAGCGTACCAAGTAAAGGATTATAGTAACTTGGACCAATTGATGGGTGTGTTGCGTATTGGCTGAAGACAGTTCCCATTCTGAAATTAAATGTTCTCAAGTCACTGAGTTGCAAACTGTCTTTTCTAGTCCAAAGGTTCTGTTACAGCTTTACAGGTAGTATTAACATATGGTGGTCATGGACTTTGAATTAGTGAAGCTGTTTTAATGCTAAAGGAATAGTACTAGTGAAAATTATGCATTAGTGGAGGTGATTCACTTTTTAGCTCAACTAGTATATTACTAAAAGAGAAGAAAAAGAACAAAAGTAAAGAATAAGCATGGGTCAACAAAGTACAAGGCTAATAGCCCTTTAAAGTGGATCGAATAAGTACACATCTAACGGTTTATGGTCAATTTTTGACACCCACTCACGGTTTTCTTCATCCATTAATGATAACCTCTATGCCCCCCTGTTTTCCCCTTTCCTTTTTAGTGCAAAAAAATCTAATCAATATACTAGTTTTTAGCATTTAATAATTGAGTTCATCTTGGAGCTTTTTGCTTCAAAATGTATTTGAACGAGCATATCAACCTGAGATTATAATTTCATCTAGGACCTCCAAATCAAAACAAACAGGTTTAATTTTTCATACTTTTACAGGTTAAATTTTATATTATATGATTCCTTCATTCTGCTATGATTTTAACACTTTCCTTTTTTGACAATTCCAAAATAATTACAACCACTCTCTTTCAGGTAATAAAAAACAGGTAAAGTGACTTGAATACCCTTAATAATTACCCACCCTCATCTCTTCTCTCCTTTCCTTAATTACAAACCACCAGTTAATATTTATATACTCACCAATTACATATCTACCTTATTCTTCACTTTCCTTTTGCTACCATCAATATATATTCCTCTTCCATCTATTACAACGGTCCCTTCTCTCCTTTTTCCCTCACCATCTTCTTTCTCTTTACACCGTTCTGTAATACGGAGTATTTGTTTCCTTCCGGAAAAAATAGAGATCTGGCCTCAAGATCTGAACGACGAAAAGGCAGATCTTTTTGCTCCATCTATTCTCCCTTAAGATATGACCATCCCAGTCACAGATTCAATAGTTCCACATCTCCGCAAAGCACTAGAAGTTCAACATCAATCACAAGGACACCAGATGTAACAGAGAAGGAAGAAAACGGGTGTTTTGAATATATTTTCAATGTAAGGAATGAGTTACAATGGCTGCTATTTATACAAGTACTAATCTAATCAAAATGGTAAGTAATAATACAATATTAAATGAGAATGATATGTAACAGCTAATCATAATATTCTATTTTAAATTTAATTATTTCTTTCCTTCAATAACATGTTCATTATTAATCAAAGAGAGCTATGTGATGAAGATTTATCAGCTTTTTTTGTCCGACCAGTTTATAGAGAAGCATGCGTCCACATGAAGTAATTTGTTCATCTATTTTTTATCTATCTATTTTTGTGAATGAATTCTATTTTTGGTCTTACGAGTATCGCACCAATGCCACAATTCATCCATGTCTTTGACTTTGACCACTTTTGGTATATGACTATTGTGTTTTCACCCATATATGGTCCTTCCATCAATGTTTCCGGTGGTTAAAATCGCCGGAAATGGACCACAAATGGTCAAAAAACATTAGCCAAGTACCAAAGTGGATAAAGAGTAAGACGTGGACTAAATGCGGAATTGACATAAAACTCATAGGACCAAAAGTGGAATTAATTCATTTTTTGTAGACCAGTTTTTGCAGACCAGTTTGTAACATATTTATGCATAGATGAATTTGGTGATAATTTTATGGATGAGAGTATGACTTTGGAGAGAGCGAAGTGGAGGCAATAATTTTATAGATCAATAATTTTATTGATCTCATTTCATCCTTTCTATCTTTTTATCTTTTTTATCTTCCTTTTGTCCTTTATCCTTTTATCTTTTTTATCTTATACTCCCTCCGTCCCACAAATTCTTCCTACTTACCATTTTGGGATGTCCCAAAATATTCTTCCCATTTCCTTTTTTGGAAACTTTTGTGTGGCTAACATTCATTTACCTTTTTCTTACTCAACCACAACCATACATTTACACTTTATTCCCATTTTCTTAATAAGTGGGCCAAGTCAAACTGGGAAGTATTTTTGGACAGAGTATTATCTTTATCTTAACATTTTTTTATCTTTTTATCTTTCTTTTTATCTTATCTTTCTTTCTCTTTTTTTATTTATCTTTTTAGCTGGGTATTTCATATGTCGATACATGTTAGCCGGCCCCAAACTCTTTTAAGACTAAGGCTTGGGTGTTGTTGTTGTTAGCATTTAACTAATCCTTTATTGATTCTTTTTTTTGTTCTCAGTTTTATTTGTTTCTGGTTATTCACTTGTAATTTTGGGTTTTGGTATTTTGTAGGTTTTCTGGTAATTCCTATTTCCTAATGAACTAAACTTGTTTGAATACATTGATTATGTTAATTTTATAAAAAATGTAATCAACCTTTTAAATGCTGTACTGTTGGACCACTAGTAAAGAAGAATGGAATAGGGAGAAGTAAACTGAAGGAGCTTAACTTATGTGCCCAACTCAACATTGCAACTATTTCTGAGTGGAGAAAGTATTAAACAAGTTATCTTCTATAAAATATTTGATATGCCAACTATTTTGAAACAATCAAAGCATTGAACGTAACTTTTATTTGTAAAAATGGAAAAAGCTCCCTATATTCGCAAAAAAAAAAAAAAAAATCAAGGGGTACCTGTTAAGAAAGTAATACTCCCTCCGTCCCATTTATATTGTCTCGTTTTACCTTTTCGGGAAGTCCCACTTAAATTGTCTCATACCATATTTGGCAAAGTTTGTGTGGCTCTAAATCATTCTTACTTTATTTTTACTTTATCAATTAATATCAACCACACAAACTCACTTTTCTTAATAACCGTGCCACCCTCTTCCGCCCCAATATAAATGGGACGGAGGTAGTAATATACAATAATACAACCATCGTTCTTTATTATTTACAATGTATCGAGTTTTGCACTATTCACTATTCACATACTATACTTTATGTACTGAATATCGTATTACAAAAAAAACATTGTTAAATACTTAAATTGATATCAGAATAAATTTCAAAAAAATATATTTATAACATCTCTGTTTAGTCCTTGTAAATTTTGACCAAGAGTAAGATAGAGGCTATAAGAAAATAGTATTTGTTGCATGAAACAAAAAGAGTTAAAAAAACATAAATCTAAATAAAAAATGTATTACATTATTTGCAAGTAATAGAAAATTAGAAACATATTTAAGCATAATTTTTGCCTATGTTTTTCATCCCTGAAACTAATATATCCCACATCAATATGCTGGCTATCTAAAGCAATTTTGTTTAAAAAGAATTTATAGCAAAATGATTTATGATAAATCAATCAATCACTTGGTATTAAATGCCAAAAACTAAATACATCAATTAAGATGGTATTTTTTTGTACCAAAAAAGAAAGGGAAAAGCCTCTTTGTTTTCGTTGGCTGAAGAATATAACCATTAGTGAGTGCCCAAGAATGACCAAAAAACACTAGGTTTATGCTTATTCGAACCACTTGAGACGTTAGTGGCCTATCTAAGATTCGGGTATAAAGTTAATGTCCAATTTGGGCCTTCTAGACAAACTCTGGGGACCTTGTGTTTAAATTGAGCAATATACTTGTATTTGAGCAAGCACTGCAGAAAGAAGTGAGAAGATCATACCTATGCAGCCCTCTTCTAGCGGAATCAAGAAGTTGAGTATAAGTAGCTGGGTCCTTTTTTAAAGGATATTTGTAGTTCTGGTCAATCTGAAACAAAGGAATGATATTTAGGTAGACCAAGAAGATTATCCAACCCCAAATACGTATGGATTCTAAAACTGACCAGAATATCTTCACTACTAGAGTAAAACTATTTAAAAGAAACGAAGGACAATAGTTTCTAAAACCAACTAAAAATCATTTACATCCGAAATAAAAACAGTGGAGTCAGTAAAAAAGAGGACAATATAAGTCATCATCATTCATCATCATCATCATTACCCCAGTGCCTCAAAGGCTCCCACCTACGGTGGAGTAAGGGGGGTCGGATGTACGCAGCCTTACCCCTATACTAAAGCACAGAGAGATTGTTTCCGGATGACCCATAGTGAAAAACAAAATGAAAGAAAATTCCAAAGCCACACAAATAGAAAGCGCTTTAAACTTTAATTTACAAAGATGCACAACTTGAAACTAAAGTTAAACTACAACATGTGTTTGACGCGTAATAATTACAAAACATTTATCTGGAAACATAACACTAGCCCACACTCCTCACAAGGAATTGTCATTTTCTGCTTCAAATACTACAATGTGTAATAGTTTGTCGTTCTTGTTTCACTGCATATCAGAGATGTTTATGCATCAGGAGAACAAGGTAAACTGATGATCATGCATTCAGTGTACCTGTAGGAATCATCGCAAACCATGAGTTGGAAACGAAAAAATATGACTCACAAGTTTGCCAACAGCTTCATAGCTATGAGATAGTAATCTCGAAAACAAATTATTCTTCAACTCCTCATTAGGAAGGGATCCAACTACCAGTGTGATTGCAGCAACCACTTCCTTCTCAATATCTAGAGGTAATACCCATTCTTCTAAACCCTAGCAAAAAATGACAGTAGACATATAAGTTTGCTGAAATGTAATGTACTTATTTAACTACTACCTCCGTCCCATAATGTAAGAAACACTTGGGTTTGGTGCTGGTTTTAGGAAAATAAAGGATAATGTTGTTTTTTTACAATTCTTCATAAAGTTAGAAAAAGTATGATGGGTCCACAAAAAGTAAAAGGTGAAATGATAGATAAAGGCAGAGTGAGAAAGTAAATAGTTAGTGCAGTTAAATTTACGAAAGTGTTCATATATTTTGGGTACAAAAAGGAAATGTACCTTACAAAATGGGACAGAAGGGAGTAATTTCTCAAGTGCTTTTTTTAGAGTCAGTTCTTCAAACTTTTCAAGATAATGAAAATATCAATCGTTCTAAATTAGAATTTATCTAATCGTGCTTAAATATATGGGAAAACTATCAAATAGGACCCCGTACTATACTAAAAAAGTCAATTGGGTCCTCGTACTAATAAATCAACCAATCAAGCCCCCCAACTTTAAAAAAATACTCAATTATACTTTTCACCCGGTTGATTATAAATTTAGCCGGTAACCGCTTACCTGGATGCCATGTGTACTACTTTTTTCATTTCTATTTTTCTTCTCCCTGCTGCTCTACTGCTCTAGCTTCTCGTCCGCCTCTTTCTTTCTTTCTTTCTTTATTTTTATTCTTTCTTCTCCGGTGCTCTTACTGCTCTACCAGACGCTGGTAGCCAAAGAGAGGACATTGGGTTAGCTAGTTTCTAGAGGTTGACAGCGCCGGAGGCCCGACGGTAAGCTAAACCTTTCCATCGCCGGGGGAGAGTGAACACAAAGCTTTTCAACATCGACGCAGCAACACTACGTTTATTTATCCAATTCGTACAAGACGGACTGAAATATATAGGGAGTGTATATATAAACCTCAGGCAGTAGTACGTAAATATGTATATGTATGCATCAGTTGACCGGCAAGTAATATACGGAGTATGTGTGTATATATGTTGACCGGCGATAGTATGCATATATATACATGAGTTGACACTTCGAGAGACGGGTGCGTAAATATATACTCCGTATGTATATGAAGTATATGCTATACTAGGTATATATCAATCGGCCGGCGACTTTAGAAGATATACCTATGGGGAAGAGTGGAAGACCTGAAGCAGACAATATATATATCTGCCACACTAGCTATACGGATCCAAGAAGAAAACGGAGGAACTTGCGGGAAATAAAAATTTACCTTACACTCGCCGGAGACGGCAGACGAACTCGCCGGAGATGGAGGACAAACTCACTGGAGAACAGGAAGCCGACGAGCAGATCGAGAACCAAGTGACAGGGAAGAGGAGCAAAGAAAGAAAGAAGAGAAAGAGGCGGGAGAGCAGGAGAAGGAAAAAGAAAAAAGAGGAAGAGAAAATGTAAAATATTAACGCCACATGGGCTTACAGGTCATTGGTTACCGGAAAACTAGTAAACCACCGGGTAGAAAGCGTAATTGAGTTTTGTTTGATAGTTGAAGGATTTAATTGAATAATTTAATAGTAGGAGGACTCAATTGACTTTTTCCATATAGTACGAGGACTTATTTGATAGTTTTCCCTAAATATATCAATGCTAAAGCAAATTAAATAATATCCAAGTCCCTGAATCTATCTTTCGGAACAAGAAGTTAGAGAGGCATGTGAAAGGACAAACCTCCCCAATCCAAATTAGAATTTCCAAACTTGAAGGCTCGTACATTACTGCAGCTGCTTCTTCACATAACTTGCGCAAAGCACAGGCACATGCAGATGAACAAAATGGTTGTGCAATGCCTTTTGCTAGAAATGTTCTGGAATCAATAGAGCAGCTAATTATATATACGTCAATTAATTTCTCTGAGCTAGTAGAAGGAAAGTTTTAAGGAATAAAGTTATGAGTCCAATCTCAATTCCTATTCAGGTGGAACAGTTTTGAATATTTTGACATGGAAAGGTAAACTGTAAGCATTTTCAATTTTCTAAATGGCTAATACAGTAATACATGATAGTTCAGTGAACTTCAAAAAAATAGAAGTGAGCAAAGTCATGAGCTCTAATGTAGTGCTAATACTTTCAAAATTCAAATGTGCAACTTTTGAAAGCTTGAATATGAATATGTGTGTGAGCGTGTCTGTGGTTCTTTGTTTTATTATTTACTTAAAGGCAGTTCTTACAGTATTGGTCTGGCGTCAGGCAGAGAAGCAGATATTAACTTGGAATAAGAGCCAATAACATCAGCAAGAGACTTGTATACCTGTCAGCAAGAAGCATCATGTGGTAAAAACAGGATGCCAATGACTCTATACAAGGGTAATAGGATGACATTAAATCTACATATTTTTTTCAAAAGATGCTATGTAGTATATGTTAAGCATGAAGTGGGAGAAAAGCTCCAGGACTCAAAACTGAACAACCTCCTAAATTTTCATAAGAAACAAAATGTCTTTATTCCTAAATCATCTCACAGTTCATATACAACAGAGTACCTTTGTTCCAAAATCCTAAATTATCTGCGGTGGAACACGCCTTAGGACGCTTCTACTTAATACCCATCTTTCATATTGGATTATGAGATTCGTCTAAGCATGTTGCAATCTTGGATTATGAGACCCAAACGAAAGGGTGTTAGCAATGGGATACATGAAATTATTTTTTAGATGTTATATTGCAATGATTTATTTGGTGTATGGCACATCGAGTTACAGTTAAATAGAGCTTCTCTTAGTTCTAAATATAGTAATTTATTGACAATATAGGATAGTGTAATTTTGGGAAGAGGTAAGGGTCAGATTGGTACTCGAAGTTGCATAAAAAGGGTCAAATAAGTCCTTATATAGGAGAATCTCTCCGGTCGTCGCATTTGGGGCGGTTCCCGGTAGAATTTTTTGACGAAATTTTTTGAGCATCTTATTTATTAAGTCTAGTTTACTCATACCAAATTTCAGCTAAATATTCAACCAGGAAGGTATTCAAATGAATTCTTGAAGATAACTGCGCTTTTAACTACGCAGTTATCTTCAAGAATTCATTTGAATGCCTTCCCTATTGAAGTTTTAGCTGAAATTTGGTATGAGTAAACTAGACTTAATGAATAACATGCTCAAAAAAAATCATCAAAAAATTCCACCGGGAACCACCTCAAATGGCGACAGCCGGACAGTAAGGACTTATTTGACCTTTTTTATGAACCTTCGAGTACCAAGCTGACCCTTATCTCATTTTGGGAACATCTCTTGTCTAGAATGAGTGCATACTTCACTACACCACTTCCCCCTCCCGAATCTTAGATAAATCTCTTCTGTTACATGTAATTATTATTTCTTAGTATTCTTCCTATTGTATAATCAGCGACAACAGCAAAACAAATCAACGATAAGCATAAGTTCACGTACAATTTTCATGATTCCTTTCAGTTCACTGGATGTTTTACTGGACAAAATTGCGACCAATTGCAGCATAAAAGAGAAATCGAAGTATGGTACTTTGCTGATAACTACCTCGGCAACCTGAAATGTTAGAGAAAGTGATAATTATTAAAGAGAGTGCGTAGAATCAAATCACAAATGCAAGTTTCAGTTACTTACCGCATCAAGAGCAAACATTTTAGCTTCAACCTCCTTCCAAGAAATGTGTACATTATTCATCCACCCTCCTGCGAATATCTGATATTTGATGTTCATAAGAGATGAAACCAGTATGGAAAAAATGTAGGAGACTCAAACTTGTAGTACCATTATTGCAAAAGATTAAAATTTATAGAATTGTGTAAGAGCTTAAAATATCGTTTCCTAGATCATTATATATTTATCTAACATTCATTTTTGTGTGTGGCATCATTACGAACATTGTTATTGTTATTTCATCATCATCATCATTATTACTACTACTATTATAGTTAGTAGTTACCTAGTTCCATAGTTTTAAAACAGTTAAAAGCTACTCTAAGGTTAGCTTAATTAGGTTTTTAGTTACTTGGTCTGTAGTTTCGAAAGTCTTGTAAGCCTCCCCTATATATGGAGTTTTTTCTTGACATTAATGATGCCGAGAATATAATTCGGGAAAGGAAATTTGAGAGTTCGGGTATTTCAAGCAAATCCTCAAATGGAGTTGAGAGTCTAAATGAAAACAACTCTAGCATGTCTTTTAGTTTAATCTAATTTTCATGACACGACGAAACCCGATTAGTATGATTTAGTTCTTTTGCCAGCGCCAGGAGCGAATACCCATTTTCTCATGTTCAATCTTGAGGAGAAGCTTGATGTCCCAGAAGGAAGTAATGATGGGTGCACGATATTATGATTGTTATTACTATTTTCTTACTGAATTCATAACGTAATAGTCAAAGTATAGTGTACCTTAAGCATCTATCAGTTAATTAGTGAAATAAGTTCGTAGGTTGGAAATAGTTAAGCACTTAAGCTATGTGATCCAGTTTATAGTTTGGAAGGCTCGTAAAGTTGTAACTTCCTCTATATAAAGAGCTTTTTCCCCGCAAAAATGTGTGAGCTTGTTAGAGTATCTCAATCAAATCTTCCACTCCTGAAATGCCTTTTGTCCCAACTCGTTTCACATTTAAATACACAGCAGTTGCATAACATTCATCCTCCCATCTTACCACTATCAAGGTCTGCTTCTGCCAAACAACCTCTGGACAATTTTAAATTTCTTAATGATCAATACATATTCTTTCTTTCTGTTGTCAATGTTTTTGCGTATCATGAATGTCAAAATTAGGATTATAGTTTCTTAAAATAGAAATGATACCAGCGATCATCAAATTAGTTCATTTACACTGCAATAAGGCTTAGCAATAAGTAAGATATTTTTTAATATCATAGAGGTGTTTCAAGAACCCCATAAGCAACTTTCTTATAACATGACAAGTGTAAGCCTCAATAGAAACATAGAGAAAACAATATACCATTTACAAAAATATAGATTTCTTAATTCAAACACCATGAAATAGAACCAATGTGGATCACACTCATAATTTTCAAAACATCCACAGCATGAGTGAGCTAAAGCTAAAATGTGTAAAAGCAAATAGCATGTAATGTGATAGAAATATCCAAGAATGCAGGAATTTTACAGAAAATTATCAAGAAATCAAACTAACAATCTTTATTGAAGATGAACAGTAATCGTAACAATGGCCGAAGCCCCTAAAGAGAGAGATTAATCTCAATCTTCCCAGTTCCCAAGTTCAAGTCTAAAAACCACACCTTGACTTTTCCCAGCTTATTCTATTTATACTAATCTATTACACTTATTATTATTCTTGGTCTATGAGGCCCAATTCCTAACAATACCCCCCCCCCCCCCCCCCTAAACATCCACCTTGCCCTCAAGGTGGGTGATAGGACCCAGCTACAATCTTCTTCCTTTCTTTCATCCAAGCACCTCTCCCTTTCCAATATTGGATTGATTTCTGAACCATTAGCTTGGCTGCTTCCATCTTCTTTCTTATGTATTTCACAGCAGAATTAGACAAATGCCAGGACATTCTATCCAGAATTGACTTGAACACTTCAGGGTACTCCTTTATAAACTCATTCCTTCTGTCTTCAATTATCTGTTCTTGCTTCTGCTCATTACTTTGAATAATATGATTCAGCCCTTGTTTCTTCCATTTTATGATCTGGTTTTGGAAATTAACTTCCATATCACCTAGATCAGTCAAGCATTTCATTCCCAACACCATGTCAGTCCCACCTAGCTCCAACATATAGAAATTCTGTTGAAGTTCATTGCCCTGCACATTCAGTTTCATCCCTTCACATCTACCATAGTTAGAGATCAAGTCTTCATTCCCTATTTGTACCTTATATCCTTTGATACTTTGGAAAGGTATCTTCCATCTTTCTACAAATAGCTGGGATATAAAGTTGTGGGTAGCACCACTATCAATCAAGATATTCATCTGTTGCTCATTTTCTGACCATTTCAATTCCCCTTTTACCCTAAAAGTATTCATAGAAGAGCTTCCTATTTTACTTAGGACTGACAACTGCATAGTCTTGGCTTCCATATGCAGCCCTTCTCCTTTTTCTGAGTCACTAGATGCAGTTTCAGATCCTTCCTCTCCTTCAGATTGTTCCATCAACACCATCTTGAAGTTCTTCATCCTGCAATTGTGACCCCGGCTCCAGTTTTCACCACATTTAAAACATAATCATCTTCTACTTCTTTCTTGCAGCTCATCCTGTGATAATCTGGGGCTTGTTTTCTTCTGAACTGAATTTGAAGATTCCTCCTTATCATCAACTGAATAGTCGCCAGATGGATTCTTGATTGTATGACTAGAACTCCCTCTATAGCCATCTCCCCGTTTATGGTAACTTTGTCCATTTAAATTTGTCTTCCAGACCTTCTTCCCTTCCTCCTTGTTTCTTCTGGACAATACTTCATGATTCTAATGCTCAATTAATAATGTTGTGTCCATAATTTCAGCCAGATCTCTCGCATGATAAACTGATAAAGCTTTAACTCAACTCTAATGTCCTTCAATCCATTCAAGAAAATTTCCTTAGTTACCTTCCTGCTTAAATCACCTTGAGAAACCACAGCCATCTCGAACTGATCTCTATAATCTTGAACTGTTCCCTTCTGTTTGAGACCGAATAAAGGTCCCAAAGGGTTCTGAACCAATTCCGGCTGGAATCGCCGAGTTAAGGCTGCTTTCAGAGTTCCCCAGTTCCTCTCATGCGTCTGATTCTCCCATCCTTGGAACCAACTCAGTGCTTTATCCGGTCCGATGGTGGTGATCATGTCCCCTGTGGCGATGGTGGTGGCGATGCGGTGGTGAAGAGTTGTCGTGTCCTTCCGAGTTCTCAGAACTCGTTGAGTTTCGCGACTGGTGATGGTGAGAAGTGCGATGTGAGGCAGTTGAGCGATGCGATGCAGATGAGCGATGCGATGCCGATGAACGATGTGATCTACTTCGCGGTCGATTTTGGCCTTTCTCCGCCAAAGCCGTGATCGCTGAACGTATTTCAGCTATATCCATCGCCATAGCTGCAGTTGACTCCCGCTGAATTCCTTCCAGCTCATTCATGCGTCCTTCCATCATAGAACGTGTAAATCTCATCCAGCGATCAAGACGTGCTCTGATACCACTGATAGAAATATCCAAGATTGCAGGAATTTTATAGAAAATTATCAAGAAATCAAACTAACAATCTTTATTGAAGATGAACAGTAATCGTAACAATGGCCGAAGCCCCTAAAGAGAGAGATTAATTTCAATCTTCCCAGTTCCCAAGTTCAAGTCTAAAAACCGCACCTTGACTTTTCCCAGCTTATTCTATTTATACTAATCTATTACACTTATTATTATTCTTGGTCTATTAGGCCCAATTCCTAACAATCTATTAGGCCCAATTCCTAACATAATGAAAGCATTTGTATTAAAGAAGAGGCTTGCAGGTTTGCTGCTTGTAGAGAGAATATCACAACAGTATCTACACCCAAATTATTAATCAAGTACATGATAGCATTAAATAATTAATACTCTGTCAAATACTTGAATTACAAGAGATTTATTGATCTCTCATGTCTTGAGTTTCAACTATTCTTGGATACGTGGAACCTATATAGGTAGATAACAACCCATTCACATACTCAATGGATTCTTAGACTGCCAATTAATGACTTTTGGACTAACTTGATGAAAACTCCTAAGCAGAGACTCTTCACAAACACAATAAACGTGTGAAATATACAAGGCAAAACTGAATCACGATAATATCTAGTTCATACAACTTTTGATAAAGTAATCTCGTATTTTAGAGCTTATTGTTCCCTTTACCTTTTGCAGAAATGAAGCAGGAGATAAAATATGACAAATATCAACCAAAGGTTCCACCAAATTTATTCTGAATTGCGCAAGGCTATCCGGAAACTCAAGCGCTCCTCCGCCATCAGTAATGGTAGTACCTAACTGTTCAGGACACAAAAAATCAGCCGACAACAATTTTAGCAAACGAAATTTAGAAAATGGTGAAACACTGAGGTCTTAAATAAAAACCACAAGAAAGGCCAACTGCTCAAAATAGATACTAAGATAAACAAGTGCTGAAAAATGAGATGCAACATAACTTTGGCAAACTCTACCATCATTGTTGATTGAAACTCATCTTAGTCAGTACAAAATTAGGTTCCTGAGAACAAATTCAACCGAAAGGCGCGTTTTACTGGCATGTCCAATAGAAAGATTGAACCTAAATTAGTCCAAAGCTGTTTCCAAGTTCAGAACTGGTTCAGGAAAATACTGCCTTAGTATTGGTTCAGGTTCATACTTTTTCATGAACTTCAACCAATGGCATGACTCGTATCGTGCCGTTGAACCATGGGTCCAATCCAAAGGTATGAACATATTGTTTAATGGCATTGTGAAGTATACAGCGTTTTTTTATGTGTTGAATAAGGATTACACAAGGAGTTGTATTAGTGTATACTATGTATATAGCTACTACTAGAGCTACCTATACAAAGTTGACCAAGCTCAATACACCTAGAGTTAGGATTTCAACCTTTCTCTCAAGCCGGAGAGTGTAAATAATATGCACCAACCTTATTATATACTCCCTTCGTCCCATAAAATGATAAAACTTGGCCAAATTTGACAGGCATGAGGAATAATAAAGTAAAAAAATGTGTGGTTGAGGTTTGTGCAGAGGAGCCACAAATTCTTTAATTAAAATGGAAAGTGGGAAAGTTAATTAAGACAATCAAAAAAGGAAAATTGGCAAAGTTTTAAGGGACGGAGGGAGTATATACTGCCTCCGTCCCAAAATAATAGTTGCAATTTAATATTCACTGGTCAACACAATTCACTTTCGATCTCTAAAATATGTATCAAAATTTTATTATATTTGAATTTATAAATTACAATAAATGAAAGGTTGAGATGAAAAAGTTCTCATTCTAGGCAGTTCTCATTTTAGGAGGGGTTCTCAAAAGAACCCTTCCCTATATGTGTGTGCATAGACCTCTAAGAGACTTTGTTAAAACATTGGTAAGTTGATATGTCGTGTACTCGTGTTGGCATAGTTTAGGACAATTGTTCATGTATGATCTTCTCTCGAATGAAAGAGTCGATCTTAATATTTTTAGTTCTCTCATGGTTTACTACATTAGATGCATGTGCATAGTGGCTTAGTTATCACACATTAGTTGAACTGGTTTTATATATCAGTGTTTCAACACTTGAAGTGTTGCATCTCAATAACCATTACATTGTTTGTCCAAAAACTTACCACAAATAAAGTATCCAATCTAATAATTGTATGGTAATTCATTTTTCAAATGACTCTTTAGTGTGTCCGGTATAGGAAATTAGGAAGCAGACCTCTATTATGGTAAGAGTTTGATATTAAGATCCATTAATGTATCCACTAAACTACACTCCAACATACCTATTTTCAAGAATGTCCAAGGCCTACTTCCTTTGAGATAGGACAATATCATTGTGAGTTTATGTGACCTCAATACCAAAGAAGAAATTCAGTCCCAAATGAACATAAACAGGTCCTTAAGTCACTCCAAAAGGGTTCTCAAGAAACAAGGTTTACCTCACACTTATATGTCATATATAGATTAGGAAAACATCTAAGTGTGACAATTAACACATTCCCTTAGTTCAAATTGAGCTAGATAAGTTGAGATTGGATAGATGTGTCAACCGATCCCAAACGGGTACTCTAATCATGGGTTCCAACTTCCAAACAAACAAATAAACAAAACTCAATCCGACCAGACTCTAATGCCATATTAGATTGGGCTTAATTAACTCCAAAAGGATCCTCAAGTTGCAAAGTTTGCCACACTTTTTTTGAATATTACATAGTGCTCTGGTATAAATCCTATGCAAGACACTTCACGCAAACCAGTTGTCCTTTTGTAATTGAGAAGATACTCCCTTCGTCCCTTAAACCTTTGCCAGCTTTCCTTTTTTGGATGTCCCACTAACTTTGCCACTTTCCCTTTTAAGTAAAGAATTTATGGTTCCAATTAATTCTCTCTCCTCTACACAAACCTCAATCACACAGTTTTTACTTTACTAATCCCCGCGTCAGTCTAACTTGGCAAATCTTCAAGAGATGGAGGGAGTATTATTTTTAGACTTAAGGACCGCTTGAAGACCAAACTTTGCGAAAGACAATGAGAATTTGGTTGGGGCGGCACATCTGTTAAAAGATAATGCGGGTAACCTAAGACGAGCTCAACAAGAACATAACTCTCTTGTGGAACCGAAGGGTAAAAGCTCATATAATTCTGATTCCAGTACGAATCTGATTCCAGTACGAAGACAAACAATTGTCAATTTGTCATTGAGAAGATAATATAAGGCTTGATTCTATTAAATTTGGGAAAGCTGGAGAACAATCAGAGGAACTTTCTACAAAGGCCTTAAACCATACTCGGGTGAATTAACAGATTGAGGATGATCAACATCTACTCTCCAACTTGAAAGGGAGTATTCTGAGAAATAACAATAACATAAATACGTGTGTCCATAGTTCTAGGAAATTATATTAAATTCCCACATTTATTTGAGGATCTTCTCATGGATACATTAAATAAGACCTCCATTTACTTTGATCAATACAATTAAAATGAATATTTCAATCCTTGGTTTAGTGTGGGACTTGCTCTTATCGATGCGCACAGCACACAACGCTTTAGGGGCAGTGACTAGCTTGATTGCTAAGGGGCAGCCAGGCATTGAGCAACGTTTGGTCGAACTGAGCTCGACTTGCTGACCTAGTTTAAATAATTCGAGGAGATTGTCGCTAGTCTTGGACTTGGCAATGAAGGGGGCTGAGGTGGATGAGTGGATCTATGGATACAAGGGGTCGAGAGCTTTGGGCACCAAGGAGGTGAGAATGATAATCTTTCAGCCTAGATCAGTGCACCCTTTACAGGGAGAAGTGGAGAACCATTTTATTTGGTCAGGGCACATCAGTCATTGAGAAGGTGCCCTCCATGTATAGGAACTCATAGTGGAGGCTTGGAGTGTGCGAGACTTATAGGGAGACAGGGTAGACAAAAATAACTTGGATTGAAGGAATAAGCAGAAACCAATGTTGGATTGAGCCTCAATTTGATTTTCTCATTTAGCAAAGAAGTGGTAGTTAACTCTTAAGTTGAATACATTAATGGCAATAACTTTCATATTAGAGTTTCTTAGAATACTTGGATTCTATCTACTATTAGCAAAATATTGCCTTATCTTGCATCAAAGTGCCTATGCACACAAGTATACTGATGTTAGCTAAGTAGCTAGTCACTAATTGCACGCACACAAAGAAGACAAACCTGAGATCGCAAAAGAAGAGCATCTAGCAATGTTGACAAAACGGGAAAAAACATGTCGTCAACATTCTTTCTATTTTCCTCACTATCTATATCAATCCGAAGAATATAGCCCATCAGACTAGACCTGCATAATTGAGTAGACAAATCATTTATTCATATATTTTAAGTAGAAAAAACATGTGATGCATTCAAACATGTTAAATTTGGATGACTTCATTCACTTGGTAGAGTAGATAAATCACTTTTTGAAGTAATAAATAGTAAAATCATGTTCTACATTCAAACATTTTAAAAACTTGATGTATTTCATCCTCATCGGTTTCTCTTTACTTTGAAAGTAAAAATCTTATTTATAGTATAGTTTATTATGCTTGTGCATATTTACGAACAAAAGAAAATGATGACTACCAAAACTGCAAAGTTGAATCCGCTATCTCCCACTCTCCACTTGGATATGCTACACAACTGTGATGATGTATGAAGTGTTAGATATAATGAGTCTATTTTTGGCTTTAATACAGATGCTTAGTCATCAACAAAGTTAAACACAAAGCAAATTGCACGAATGAAAGCTTTAAGCTTTGGATTACAAATAGTGCAGAAGGACTCCAAAGATAGAAAGTTTTAAATGTCACAACATACAAACTCACAAATAGCAAGAAAGGCTCTATGTAAAACCTGTTTCACACCCACTTTACTCTCAAAATTTTCTGTTTAAACAAAGAAAAATTGGAACTGTGATAGATTCCTTTTGGAAGCTGAAAATATTGTAGTTTCAATGAGCATGAAGTGTCGATGCTTAAAATATTTGTACACATTCTTCACTTTAGATTCTGATACGACACAACACTCCAGAGAAATTTAAGGACGTATATTAATCAACGTTCAGTCCAAAGGAAGAAGAAAAAAAACAGATAATGGAAAATAGCAATAACTTGCAGCCAAAGAAAAAAAAACATGCTGGAGACCATTCGAGAGGGCCCCTCTCTCCAACAACTAGACAATTCCCAGATATCGCTCTCTCCACTCCCCGACTCCCTTTTATTCTCTTTTCCATCTCATCCTGACCTCACTTCATTAATTAGTAAATTACCCCCTTACCCCTTCTATAGTAAACTTTAGAAAAGTCTCTGTTAGGATTTATTTTGAATTGGGTTGTGTTCTCATCAGATTCTTCAAAAGAGTAAACAGTTAATCCACTAGGGAAACACTAAGGATTAACACATCAAAGAAAGTCATGATTTCCACCTGAATAAGAGGACCGCCCGATCATGCGACAGAGCAGATACACTGCATGGGGGTCATGTCTATGCACAAGAATTTATATGCACTAGAATGCAGAACATTTCAATATTCAAAATATATGGATATGACATCTGACCTGAGGAGCGCATCTGTTAGAAGAAAAGCTTCAGGACTGGCTTTGATAATTAAAGATGGTGCCTATTATACATTGAAATTTGAAATGTAAATAAGTTTCACCTCATTTAGTAATACTAAAGGCCGGCTTTTATTTATAGAAATAAAAAAATATTTTCTACAAGTAAAGGCTTGTGATTCTTCTTACAGCAAGGCCAATTTCCGACATCAAGCATGCCAGGCCATTTATTACTGTATCATCTCCACTGTTAAGTGCAAGGAGGAGGATACCCTTGAGATATCCAACTCTGCATAGCAAAACCTGTGGCAATCCCTACAAAAGCAAAGAATCAATGATGTAACCTCTAGGCACTTAAACGAGCACTTGTAAGAAAACATCTTGAAGTCTTATTTATTTTCTATGAACAGATCGAGAGTTCTAAGAGAAATGTTCAAGTAAAAGATCTTCCATAGGTCATTTTTTAATACCTCATGTCGAATTAAAAGTTCCATTAGAATTTCAATTGCCAGATCAAATGAAGAAGAAACCTGTCACACATTTAAATAGAAGTCAATCGTTTTAGTTAGCAATCATAAACATGAATAATTGGATACAATTATGTCGATTAGCAAACACTGCTAATCTAGCATATAAAGTACCTGCAAAGAATCGAAAACAAAATCCATAAGTGGGTGTGTGGATAACGACCCAGGAGGGATCTCTGAGAAGCATCCAGCCCGGACCTGAATGAATGAAAAAGGGTAAACTAACTAAGCTTGAGAGCAGCCAGTTTTCAATATATACATTATACATGGAAAACACCGCAGGCTGAACAGTAGTCTGTCTTTTTTTATTTACTTTTTGTAAGTAAAGTTGATTGGCGATCGCTCATAGCAGGAGATAAACCTTTCACTAGATCAAATTGATTTGTGTTGTTAAAAAAATTATTATGTGCACATCATTGTGATGTCTCTCACTAAACATCTATTCATTCTCTGACAGATGAAACATCATAATGCTCAAACATAATCAAGAAATTATGCAGTACCTCATCCGTCCCAAAATGAAAGTCCATTTTTTTCATTTTGGGGTGTCCCAAATTAATATTCCGGTTTCCCTTTTGGTAAAAACTTTTACATAAATTCCGATCTTACCCTTCTTATTTAAAATCTACAAGGTTAACTTCCTTTTTCCTAGAAATTTTCACAATTCCTTAATCTTTGTGCTCATAAAGTATGGGACTTTCAATTGGGGACATAGGGAGTATGTCACTTGGACTAAGTTCTTTATCTCTAAAATGAGGTGTGCACTCTATGTAATATTATCTCCACAATGATTATAAACATGTAAACAACTCAGAAGCTTAAAACAGAAAAGGCAAGATAGAGACAAGCTTCATAGAGCTAATCAATTCTTCTTGACATGCCGAAGTAGAAGATATGGAATCATTTCCAGAACAGATAGTCACAAGAGAGGAGTTGGAGAAAAAAAGGAAGACGACGCCACAAATACTTAATTTATATCTGCACTTCTATTGAATTTAACCAAAGAAAGAAGTGTTATTTGTGTGTGTTTGGCACAACTGGCCAAAAAGATATCTTTTATGTTTTTGATAAAAGATAACTGTTTGATGTAGCCCTGTTTGGTAACAAGCTGTCTAAAATCGTAGAACTACGACTACATGCATTTCCAAATATTCTTGATGAGAAAAAATAGTTCAAGTTAACATAGTTGTATTACATCAAACTCATTTTGAAAATATGACAAATAGAAAACAATGTTTAAATATGCATGTTCAATTTAATATAATTTTTATTACGTCAAAATCATTTGGAAAATACGACAATGATAATAGATGTTTAAATACGCATTATCATATAGTAGTTATATTTGTGTGTGTATCATAATGAAATATATCTTATCTCAATAAAATACATCTTGCTTAAACTGGTAAACATATATTTTGCTCATTTTAGAATGTGACCATTCTAAGTTTCTAACATACTTGGAAAGTTAAGCAAAGTTTAAATATTGAAGTTCATAGTAATCCACTTTATGCGGTCCAAATCAAATTGGCAGCAACAATGCGATTGAATTATTTCACACAGAATAAATGACATTTAGGAAATAGAAGGAACAATTTACAGGTGTTACAAGACAACATATTATTTAAAAAAGTGATAATTATAATAATAATAATGAATGAATACTGAAATAAATTAAATACAAATTTGCATTATGAAAAATAATACTATTTGGAAAATATGATACACTAATTTCAAAATAAAATAATCACAAAAGAATAGTTCACGTGCAATCTATAGTTTTTTATTAGTTGCTAGCGTAAGTGTTTATTAATTTAGTACATATCAATAGAAGCTTATATTCTTATATATTTAATTAAAATTAAGGAGAAATAAATAGGTAGTGGTTCAAACAAAACTTTCTTCAGAAGCTACTTAGGGTAGCTATTCAAAAAAAAATCTTAAATTTTTAAAATAGCTCTAAAAAAATGTTGTACCAAACATACAAATAAGATTCAGTGGAGAGTTTTAAAATATTAAAAAGCAAGGAGGCAATGAGTTATGTCTACCAAACATGCACCAAGTTGTTTACTTGTTTATAAGATTTCTACTGATGCGAAATATAGAGAGCCTTAACCAAAGAAAAGTAGATTACTACAAATCATCCTCTCGTTGATGTTGTGTTCATTCCAACCATTGTTGTAATGATAAAATATACTCTCTCCCAATTTGATTTGCAAAAACTAGACTGGCACAAAAATTAAGAAAGGTAATGAATTAAGTTTGTCTTTACTATTTTGCATTTTTGCCATTTCTCCTTGAAGTAGAGAGGCATTTATGTAAATAGAGAAGGGGTAAAAGTAAGGGTAAGTTAATCACTTTATTCATCCTTCCATACCTGAAATGGAAAGAGGAAAATTGTTTTGGGACGGATGGAATAGTATCATAGTAGCGCACTTGACAATATATCTTACCCAACTTAGCAAGCAGCGCAGTAGCTTTTTGTTTCTGTGGTGGTTTTGAGCGCCACAGTCAATATTTTTCTTGCTTTGCTCCAGAAGGAACTTGAAAACCATTGAAGTGTGAGAGAGAAGCTGAACTTGACAAAGCATCTTCAAGTTAGAAAAGGGATGCACTAATGGTTAAAGATATGACTACAAGCAAATATGACAAACATTTAAATAAGAAATTTTTAAACCTCTAGGCCATACTCGAATCGTTGGACTGAACTTATTCTACAATCAGCATTCTGATCTTCAATAACTTCTGGCAAGACAGTAAGCATCTCCAAAGCAGCGATCTTGCCATCATCTTCACTTTGCAAATTGTAGAGACTGTGAAAGAGCTTTTCAATAGGTTTTCCATGTTCCGCAGCACGTATTATGAGCATAGAGAGAGCAAGACAAATTTGTGTCAAGAGCTGCTTTAAGATGAAACAGTCTTAGGAAAATACTAATACATGATCTTGGATGATATATATATACACTAATTACACATTATTACTCCTGTCCAAAAATGAGTCATGTTCAATGGAGCAAAAACAGGTCATACTTCATTAAAAGAAGCTTACTCTTCATGTAATTTCCAATAAATTGTCAATAAAGTTCGCAACCAAACATTTAATTAAACTGACAATTAAATTTTAAAAATTAAATGTGATATCAATATTTTTGACAGTTGTGTCGCACAATAATTAAAAATTTTAACTTGGCATAACAGAACTACTCTCTGGGATGGAGGAGTATTGTACTATTGTATACCAAACAGTGGATTACCTGAGGAGGTCCTGAACTGTATCTTCTTGCTGCCAATAGAAGAGCATTAAGCAGCGCATCTTTGGCACCCAACTGCAGGTGGCATCCTTCATTTTGGATCTGTATGGTCAAGAAACAACACCAGGCTTGTTACAAAGACACATACTGACATACATAATGTGCTTTTATCTTAAAAGGAAAGAAAAAGAAAAAGAAAAGTAAAAGAAAGAATTAGAAAGATGGAGAAAAATAACTAATACTCCGTATGTGATTCCAGTTGTGACATGACGTACCCATGCCCCGGAAAAGAGTTTTTAATCAAGTAAAGAAAAGTTGACGCATTGGCATTTTACCGTACTCACATTCCCAAACTTTAAAATAAAAAGGGAAACAACTACAAAAATCATGTGATAGAAAAGTGCGGTGATCATTAATATACTGAGGAGAAGGATAAACTAGCGGGACATGAGCAGAAAATGTTGCTCCTTGGAGATGGAGAAGGAACTAAATACACTTCCCCATTATTTACGAAATAATGACGTATATATGACATTTGAGTATTCACACTAAGCACTCCAAGTGTTAACCAAACGAACAGAGGAACAAAGCCCTTCTAGATTTAACGGTGAGGACATCAAAAATAGCCCCTTCAATAACCACTCAAACAGCTCATTTGCCATGTTTTTAATCTTCACGACTCTTCAGAAGGAGTACAATGTCTGTAACACTTTTGCAATATGAGTTCTTCAAATTGTTCACACAAATGCGAAGAAGTGAACTACAGATTGAGTATCGAACGGGTATTTGACCCACCTTCCGTTTCAGAACTTGAGCTGCGAAAAACTCGACTTCGAAATCAGAGACGAGCTGGTGACGGTGTTCGGAGGCGAGGATGGCGGTGGCGACTTCCCAGGCGGCATCAGTTTGCTGGAACTGGACGAGCCATTGATTAGCAGCTACGCGGTTGGTAGATTGGGTGTCGTGATTAAGCACGTGAACGGCCTGCGCCACCTTGATTTGCAGCTCCATCTGTCTTCCTGGTCACGTTATGATAAAGGAACGGACATGGCTGAATCAACGGAAACGAATGATTAGAGAACGACGACCGTAGAGCCGTACGTTGTTGGTGAATCGACGGCCAGGAGAGACGCAAGTGTTGAAGGATAAGCCTATGAAACTGGGAATGGAAAGGATGATAGGCAGAAGTGGCACCTGACCTTTAGCAATTGGATGAGCTGGAGGGGCCCACGAGTATATAACTACTTACTCCGTATAAAAGGTAGATTCCATGGTATCCCTAAGGTACCATACCTTTGTACACATGGACCAATGAGAATGTTGCAGTTGAATTATTTAAATTTAAATTAAAACTAATATAATGATGTGGACCAATCAAGTGAATGCTAGCTACGGTACGGCGGTACCCCATTTTTAAATTTAAATGGGTACCGGAGTTGTCACCATAAAAAAATTGTTTCTACTCACCCTTATATCCACTTTTGTGTCCACCATGTTTGTTTAAGGTTTATTTTTGTCTGTGAATCCCGTTCATAGACAAAAGATGTTTGTGCAAATTATTTTTCTCTGTGAATCGGATTTACATACAAAAAAACTCTTCACATACATGGTGGGTATAAGGTGAGTATAAAAGTGTGTACAACAAGAATGTGATTCCATAAAAAATTAAGACATGGAGCAGTGGCTGAGCCATGAATATATGAGGTTATGAGGGTCAACACGTAAATATTTATATACATGCATATACGAAGTATAACAGAATTTTTTCTTCGGGCAGCCGAGACGCAAAATATTTTTATCATTTCAATCTCCAATACAATACAAATTACAGAGTATAAGATTAAAGAATTGACATGACAATTCTTTAAAGATTGAAATGATAAAACAAGAACCCCTTTTTTGGCTTATCAAGCTTATCAGCCAGTTTTTTCACCAAATACGTAACTTTTGATTTCGCGCGCTGAATTGTGGAATTAGCAACAAAAAAAAAAGGTTCAAGTGACCTTTCTGGCTGTATTGGTTGAAGTTACTGTAGAGAATCATTTTAGCTATTTTTTCATACAATTTTGGGAAAATGGTCAAATAGGGCCTCGAACTTATATAAAAAGGTCAAATAAGGCCTTATATATAGAAGGTTCTGTCCGGCCGTCGCCATTTGGGGCGGTTCCCGGAGGAATTTTTTGATGAAATGTTTTGAGCATCTTATTCATTAAGTTTAGTTTACTCATGCCAAATTTCAGATAAAACTTCAATCGGGAAGGCATTCAAATAAATTTTTGAATATAACTGCGCTTTTAACTGTGCAATTATCTTCAAGAATTCATTTGAATGTCTTCCCAATTGAAGTTTTTATTCAAATTCGGTATGAGTAAACTAGACGTAAAGAACAATATGCTCAAAAAAATTCATAAAACAAATCCACCAGGAACCGCCCCAAATGGCGTCAGCCGGACAGAGTGTCCTATATAAGGCCTTATTTGACCTTTTTATGTAAGTTCAAGACCCTATCTGACCATTTTCCCTATAATTTTTTTATTTTATTTATTAATAACAAATATTTTAAATATAATTTTTTCATGAATCAGCAGAAACAGCCAATACAACCACTTCAGCCAGAACTTCATAAATTTCAGCAAAATCAGCAAATACAGCCAAATTTAGTGTTACCAAACGGGCTCCAAAAGAATCAAAAGTTTGTAGATTTTCAAATCATAGAACACTCTCATTTTTTGAAAGCTGAAAAGAAAAGTTACATTTAACAAAAATATGTCTTCATTGCCTCATATTATTTGTTTTACTTGATTTGACATTATATTAATAAAGTGGTTAAAAAGTAAATGAGGAGGTTTTTTTTAATATAAATTGGATGAAATGATATGACTCACGTATTACTATTAAAATAAAGACAAATATTTGGTATATTAAAAAAAAGGAAAACAAATAAAAATAGTCTACAAAGGCATATGTGGCATTGGCACTTTCATTATAGTCATATATCACTCCTTCCTTCTTTATATGTTTGTACTTTGTAACATTTATAATATTCATTATAAATTTAAAAAAAAATTACTCCCTCTGTCCCGCTATGATTGTCCCATTTTATCATTTCGATCCGTCCTACTAAGATTGTCTCATACCTTATTTGGTAAAATTTGTGTGATTCTAAATCATTCACATTTTATTCTTACTTTATCAATTCAATATCAACCATATAAACTCACTTTTATTAATAACCGTGTCACCACCTCTTATCCCAAACTTAGCGGGAGAGAGGTAGTACATTTTATTGTAAATCACTGTGGTTTTTCATTTTAAAAATTGTGATTATCATTACTTTTCGATCTTTTTTTAAAATCTTCTCTTTCATATTTTTAATCTTTCTCCTACATTTTTATACCCCTACTAAATATTGCAAAATGATTATGTCTTAAGAAAATATGCGGCATAATAAATAACTAAACAGCAATAAAAAGGTAAGCATGTGGCTTTATCTTATTCGAGGCTAGGAAAAAAAAAACTTCACCTTATATTTTTTTACATTTGATGAAGCTAGATCTTAGAAGCCTATGAACATGATTTGAGAGTTTTCATTGATTTCACGCACAAAGAATAGCATAAAAAGAAAGAGACTAAGAGAATAGACACCATGTGATTTATATTGACTCAGCTATGTCTTGTCTGCTCTCGCACTCAAAGACACTTCCTTTAGATTTCATAATCTTTTAGTTTTTAACACTTCAATCTCCTCGAAATCGACCAAAAGCACCTAAAAAAACTGAGTGAACGACCATTGACAATGGGCATAACGGATATATCAACAAATCTCTTCTTCAACTTGATCGTAGACTTGTAGTAGGTCTCCTCGATCAGTCATAATTATCATTAACAACCATAAGATTATAATGGTCAATAACAAACTGGGACAATTTTAAAGTAAAATTATTCATCACAATCAACCGAGTTATAGTTCATAAGATTCGATACAATTATTACTTGTGTGAGTTGTGTCGAACTAAGTGAATGTGGTCCATGTGGACAATATCAACATTACTCTAGTAATTAATGTTCAGCTACATGTTGTATATGCTATGATATAATTTGCTATATATTACAAATCGCAAACACCACCTTTGAGGCTTTGACCTTTGTAGAGAAGAATCAATGATGTACATAACTACATACAATATAAGAAAATCCGTTTAATCATGTATGGTATTATATTTTTTCAGTTCTATCAATTTTGGTACGGATCAAAACGGTTCTTCAATAAAGATGGTGTTTACAAGCTCTTGCACTTGTACAAGCAATGGTCATAAAGCCGGTAAAGAGACTGAAGTGAAACAGCCAAATTCTCTGATAAACTATTTTCCTTGTTTTCCCTTCTAGTACAGCTTTATGAAACATCTTCTGTTAAATCCCACGTTGACAACAAAAGAGAAACATCTAAGTGATTAAACCTGACAGCACACATGGTCAGCTTTCAATAATTAAAGCAACTGATGAGGGGCATAAACCATCTGAAAGACACAAGCTTTAAAAAATGCAAAAAAAATGATCAAATCTTCAAACTTCTCAAAGTTGAAGCAAGAAGAGAAAGTTTATCAGAAGCTTTCTCATTGTAATGTTTCTCCAGGGCCCTAAAGGACAAAGATTGCAGCTCTGATTTGTCTTTGTCCTCCTGCCTCCGTCCTTTAGTCAGATGCCCTATGGCAGATGTACACTGTAATGTCATAATAATCTGTTAGTTCACTGTCCGCTGTGGTGTGGAATATAAACATAATATGATTAGTAGAATTTCATCATTACAACACTTTTTATATTTTAGTAATTTTACTGGTTCCAAGTAGTTATGCAAAGCCTGCGATGTTAATCAATGGATAGAGCATGAAAACATCATTAATGGCATCACAGCCGCCAGCGCCTTCGAAGCACAGAAAGAGAGAGAAACTCACCAAGCATATACCAAAAAGGGCTCTGGTATTCTTTCCACCTGTTAAGTCTATGGTAGTTGCGTAATATTTCTTGGCCGTCTGGATATTGTCAAGTCCACCTAATGTATAGAGCACCTGGTGCCAGATAAGGTGAACACAACTCAGTACATGGTTAACGTTTTAAATAAAGCAATATAATGATAACAAATACGGAGTAAAAGTTTTTTAAAATCTCTCAACATGCAGGTCTAGATATCATGCAATGAGAGTATTTCTGATCAATCTCACGTCTTTTCTCATAAACACGGAGTATATGCTTCAGTGTATTAGCAAAACTAGCAGTTGAAACATCTCACGTCCTAAAGATAAAGCTGACTACCAATTTTGATATTCATCATCATCATCATTACCATACTCCCAACTATGTTGGGGTCGGTAGCACGAAAATCATGTGACAATTAATTAATTGCCTAAAATTAGTAAACACTATTAACTCGTGCAAACAAAGGACAGTGGCAGAGTTTCCGGCTATGCCAGATGCTTTTCAAGTTGCAACCTTCTTACGAAGGAATAATGAATTTGAATTTCCAACACTATCATCACTATACATTTTTCCTTTCACTTCCATGGATATTAATATATTATAAGATGCTTTGCGATAACTGCTGTAATCATGCTCCAATGCTGATGCTAAGGGCCAAAGTGAGAAAAAACAAGTGATGGTTTTTACCTAAAAGATAAAATTAGTAAAAAACACAAATACGATTGGGAAAAAAGTCAAAGGCTTGTTGACACATTCCTCAAACCCACCAACAAATTAGCCATTGTTGATGTGTTATGGAAATAAAACATTGACAATTTTAAATAAAACCATAACTTAAAAGACGTGGGATACATGGTGTGTAGAAGAACCCTTCACACATGTAAGTCATTTTAATGAGCAAATGGGTTGTCTATGGTGCAACCACAAAGTGTATACTTGCATGTGCATGCATAAAATTAGAGAATTTTATGCAAACCGGGATGACTACAGAAATATGCAACAATGACATGTCACATACATCAGCATAAGCCAAGTGATAAAGAGGAACTGTTGGTTGAGATAAGAGGAGCTCCTCATAGCAGAAAGCCGCCTGCTTATACCTATCACCAAAAAAACATGAGAAATTTTGCCATCAACCAAGGACATTTGTGGGGGCCTTCTAAAGCAGAAGAAAATGTGATTATCACACAGTAAGATATAATATAAAAAATTCTTACATT